GTACTACAGGTTTACATCCAAACGCTCACTCCTATCATGTATTTTGCCCATCCAAGTGGCAGGCAATATTCCAGTGCTGTCTCTTTCTCTCTCCCTTCTTTCTTGACAAGAAACTGCTGTTGTGCTATTTTGATACACTGCTTTTAGAAAGATGAGATAAATACACACACATTTATACAACAGTTTTATGAGAAGCCCTTCAGTATGGGATAAAAAAGAATCTGAGGTGGCAAAGTTGTGACAGAACTTGGATGTAGTTAATTGGATCTACTTATTTGCACCATTTTTTATTAACTGCTTGTGTCAGTCCTGGGCTGAGAAAGCAATTTAACTCATTGCCTGTGAAAAATGAAATGACAGCAGCTACTCGGGTGAACTTTCACATTAAGGAAGCATGATCTGGTCTTGATCAAAGACCTTATGTTCCTGGAGGACCAGAGTTCAAGCACCAGCCTCTAATTTCAAGAGAAGAAAAAGTTTCTGTGTCATTGCAAGGTAAATTTCAGAGTTTGAGGCCAAGGTAAACTTTCATGTCAGCACTGTTAGTGACCCTAAACTGAAGCTTGACTTGATCATCTCTTCCTTTAATTCTCACTGTCATATTCTGCCTCCTGCTAGGCTGAATTGGCTTCCCCCTTTTCAGCAGAGAGAAGTGATGTTATCAGCAGTCATTGCTCCCAGGCACTCGTGGATCACGTCATGCATCTTGCTGGTTGTACCAACAAAACAAGCTCTGAGGAGCAGGGTTGGCATCCAAGAGAGACAAGACACCACCTCTGGGTGGCAACAAGCCATAAAATTGTCCTTGCAGGTCTTGTGTAACCAGAACAACTAATAAACCTCTGGAATGCTGATGCTGTGGTTGATCTGGTTACACCAGAGAAGCCATCTCTTGCAAGTGGGATGGCAGGAGCCAAATCACGAGCAGATAATACCAAAGGCCACTGCTAGAGATGTATTAATGTGATTGTTGCTGTGCTGAATAATGACCGTGACTCTGTCACACCTGCTGAAAACTTTTTTAAGCATTTGGCATCATGATACTATTGATTGGCACCTCAGTGCACCCATATTGACAATACAAGGGACTGTAGCCATGGCAGCAGTCATTTTGCAAACCTCAACACCACTGGTGTTGGGTGTAAAGCCATCATGAAAGTTATTAGAAGAAGACAAATGTTGTTACAGATGGATCTGTAGCCCTGCAAACCGAAGTGAATGAAAAATGTCAGATATAAAGGTGGTCAAAAAGAGCAAAGGCCCATCCTTTTCTATTTTGCTGCCTCCAACCTTCAGCCTGGCCCAGGAGAAGTCAAATGCATCCTTCCCAAAGCCTGCCAGCATTGCCACTGCTGTCCAAGCAGTGTGACACCTCTGGGGTGCTCTGCAGATCACCAGGGCTCCTCCTCAGTGCTGGCTCTTGCTCTGAAAGCCAAGACATCTGTGAAAGGCAGCTGTAGATCCCGGGTGGTTAGAAGTTAATTGTGAGGTCTAGCTTGCAAATCAAACCAGAGAGAGATGCTTTTGCAGGAACCAGGAGACAGAAACTCAGCTCTTGTTGAAGATGAAGGGTGCCCGGGGCTCGTGTGAGTTCCTGGCTGTGCCCCAGGAGCGTGGGGTCACCCAGGGTGAATCATCTGGGGCTGCTTCCCCAGCTGTAAAGCAGGATAATGCTTCTGTTCTCACCTCAGTTTGTCTTCTCTGTTTAGATTTCAAGCTCCTCAGGGCTGTGTCTGATACATGTATGTACAGTTCCTAGCTTAATAGAGTCATGATCCAAACTGAAGCCTCCAGGCACTCCTGCATATTATATCATTGCTAATTTCACAAGAGGTTGCAATCAAATTCCTGTATAGGGAAAAAAAAAAACCCTGAAAAATCCCAGAAAGGAATAAAGCAAGCTATTAAAAACTGAGGAACATTTTTGCTGAAGTGGAAATAATGGTACTTTGTCCCAAAATGTATAAAATATGTATTGCAATTAAATTCTCTATTGGCAAATTGCTCTACAATTAAAAAACACAGAAGCTTGAGTGAGGCAATTAGAATAATAGTAGAGTGTTAATTATAGCTTGATGGATTCTGCATGCTGTCAGCAATTACCTTCCAAGTGTGCACTTCTGAACCAACTCCAAATCCACAAAAAGACACCGGCAGAATTAGAAGTATCTTCCGTGTTGGCATGCCTCTGCCCTTTTAAAATTTGTTTTCATAAATACTTTTATAAGCTATTTAATTAGATTTAATGAGGTTTGAGGAAGAAACATCCTCCATGCTGCACACAGACTCCAGCACAGGCATTCACTTGGGCATGAGGGAGAGCACAACTGAGAAGAGCCTCATTTCCTTCCAGCTCCCTTACTCTCTGTGCAAGGATATCTTGTGCACATCTGAGGTGATTGGACACAGGTTGCAGCAGAGTTGTATCTAGCTTTCAGTTTTATTAAGGTTATCTAAAGCTTTTGGATCTCTCTCCCCATGGGAAACCCCACACTCACCCCTTTGCCCTAATATTGAAAAATATTGATATGAATGAAGTTAATTGAAAAGCCTGGTTGTCAAATCTGAAAACACTTTAAAAGAAGCAAAAGGTTATCTTTATTTCTATGAAAACAGCCCCAGTGAGCAGGAGAAATCCTCTCCAGAAAAGTGCTTTTGGGTCCAGCAGAAGATGTGACTGCTGTCTGTGTCAGGCAGCTGGCTAAGCTAAAAAGTCCCTGTGCATTGTATCAAATACAATTCATGGCTCCATTGACCAATTTGTAGGAAATCTAAAAGAAAAGGAGAATAGGCAGGGGGTGAGAATGATCCCACCCAGAGTGACAGATTCCCAAAAATGTGTCTCCTCTCACACCTTCCCTCACACCATCAAGGCAGCATTTCATCAGTGTGATCACTGATGCTGATGGTCCAGAAAGACCTTGGAGGTTTTCTGCTCAATTTTGGGACTACAGGCAGTAATGTTGAAGCCCAGGCACCCAAAAGCCAAATTGCTCATCTCTCTAAAGGCTGGCTTGTACCTGCCTTCCTCTTCTGTCAGTTGCTGATAATGCTCCAGTGTGCTGCCTTCTCTTGCTGCTGGTTCTTACTGATGGGTATGGAGAACAGATGTGCCTTCATCCTCCTCATCCTACTCAAGGAGCTGCCAAAATTCCACGTCCTGCACGGAGAGGAGGCTTTGATATGGGACTTTCACAAGCTGTGGGCCAAATGGAGTTTATTTGGTTGGGCTCAGCTGCAAATTCACCACCATACCTGTTTATTTTGCTCAGCTGAACCTCTAGGTGACACCAGTCCAGCTTTGATGCCTTCCATGAGTTTGTACAGCTTAGATCCCACTCTGACTGCCTGGAATGCCACTGTCCTTGTGCAGCCTGTTTTTTTGGGAAGAGGTGTATACTGTGAGCAGCATAACTGGAGCATCCTGCAGTGCAAAGCCCCATTCTGTTACGGGCAGGAAATACATCTCTGTCCCTGCATGCAGGAGGAATTGCAGTAGAAGGTTGCAAATTTCATTAAAGGTAGTAGAAGCAGGATTCCCCGTGATGTGTGTTTCTCTCTCTAAAACATCCCCTTTTGTGTCACAGACATATTTTATGAAAAATCCTTTTGCTAGGATTTTTTCTTCTGAGAAGCTGGGAACCCTCAGCTTCTCTATGTTTTGTTGCTTTGAAATGTGATTTGGAGAATTATTTATTCAGCACGTGAAATTGTTTTTACTTGAGGACCAATGACAGCCACCTGTACCGAGGCTGTGAGCAGTCACAGGATTTTATCATCATTCCATCCCTTCCCTTTCTAGCTTTCTGATGAATCCTTTCTCTCTATTCTTTTTAATATGGTTTTAGTACAGCAATATAATATATATAATATATATACTACATGATATACTATATAATATATTATATAGTACATAATATAGTATAGTATATGGTATATAATATACTATATAATAAAATTATATATTTATATAGTATAAATATATTAAAAATATATAAATATAAACATATATAAAAATAGAATATTATATATAGAATATATATTATATAGCATATAATATATATTATAATATATAAAATATTATATATTATATTATAAAGATAATATAAAATACTCTATATTAAATATTATATATTATGCAATATATTATATAATATATAGTATATATTATATAATACAATATATACGATACCATAATACGATATGATGTGATATAATAGATGATAATATATAATATATAATAGATGATAATATATAATATATAATAGATGATAATATATAATATAATATAATCTATAATCAGCCTTCTGAAACATGGAGTCAAGATTCTCATCTCTTCCTGGGACCCTCGGACACCCCCACCCAGGTAACTCCTGCCGGAAGGGTTTAAATCACACTCCCGCCCTCCGCGGGTGCGCTGAGCGCTCCAAGAGCTTCCTTCCCTGGCTGCTGTGCTGGGCCACATCCGAACTGGCCGCCATCCGCCCGGGTGCTGTCGGCGGGCTCGGCGCAGCCCCCGGGGCGCAGGGATGCTCCGGGCGCAGCTCCCGTGAGCCCGGCTGGGGCTGCTCCGGGCCGGCTGCCCCTCCCCGGCCCCATGCTGGGCTTCCCCGCTGAGGGCACGGCCGGGACGCGCGGCCGTGCCCGGGAGCGCTCGGGACACGGGACAGTGACCGCAGCCCCGCGGCCGCTCCGTGGCGTCCGGACAAGGACAGCCCCGGGTGCAGGGATGTCCAGAAGGACAGCCCGGGGTGCAGGGATGCCCAGAAGGACAGCCCGGGGTACAGGGTCGCCCCCGGGCCCCGCTGTTCCCGCAGCTGTCGGGGTTTGGGAGCGCGGGGACGGGCGCGGCCCCTTTAAGAGGGGCAGCGCGGGGGGGGCGGCGGCGCCCGCGTTCACACCTGGAGTGGGAAAGGGGGGCGGGCCCCTGCGCCCGTGATTGACGGGCCGCATCCACCAATGGGGCGGCGCGGCGCCGCGGAGGGGGGACCTCCCGGCCAATGGCGGCGCGGCGGGGGCCGCCCGGCAGCCAATGGGCGGGCGCGCGGGGGGCGGCGCGGCTACATGTTGCGGTGTCGCCAACGTGGGTCCGCGGCGAGCGGCGCTCNNNCTGCGGCGGGCTGGCGCTGCCCGCCCTGCCCCGGGACCTGCCCCGCTGGCCGCGGCACGTGTGAGTACCGGGGGGACCCGCGGGGACGGGGCGGGGGGGGGGCTCGGGCAGCCGAAGCGGCGCGGTTTGGCGTGTTGTCAAGAGCAAAACTTTGAGCAAAAAGATCCCCGCGGAACTGCGGGTTGTTTGCTGAAGCGGGGCAGGGCTGCGCGGTGCCGTGTCCCCGCGGTGTCCCCGCTGGCACCAGCGATGGGATGGAGGCGGCGGGAGCGATGCTGCTCCCCGGTGACGGGCTGGCCCCGGGTGTCCCGAGAGCGGGTTTGGTGCCTTATCCATGGGATCTGCTGGGGATAACGGCCAGCTTGGGCTTCCGAAGCCTTATTAGGGCATCGTCCGTCCGTCCATCTGTCCGTCCGTCCGTCCGCGCCGGGGCTGCGGAGCGGGGCGCGCCCCAGTCCGGACCCCAACCGCGCCCGCTCTGCTGGCTTTTAACGCTGCCGGCTTTTTAGGCTGTGAAATTCGGGGAGAGAGAGGCAGTCGAGGGCTTCTGGGGAGTTTCGGTGAAATCCAGGTGTTTTCCAGTCGAGGCTGGCTGCGCTCCCGCGGCGCTCGCCGTGCAGCGAGGGCATTAAGCTGCGGTGTATCGATGTCCTGGGTGGCCCCTGAGCTCAAAACCCCGCACCTGGTGGTTCCTGCAGCCCCGTGGGATGTTTTTTCTCCCTGGCAGGGTGTTTTAAAGTGCTCAGGTTGGTGTCCAAGCGCAGGACGGTGTCTCTGCCACTTCCCGGTCCGCTCCCGTTGTGTGGCCGTGGAAGCCGAAATAAAACATCAGACACTCAATGCTCAGGAGATTCGGGGGGAAATGTGTGCTCAGCATTGACGCTTCGAGTGGTTTAACAGTCCAGGAGGACTGAGAGTATCTGTGTGCTCACAAACTTGTGAAAATAAGTGCCCTGAACTGTTAGTTTACTTCGGGAAATCAGTATCCAGAAAGGGAAACAGCGCTTCTGCTGCGGGGCCTTTCTGCTGTTTGAACAGATTCATAAATTATGGAATCTCTGAAACCCCTGGTTGTAATAGATACTCCTCAGCCCGGCCGGGAGAGAGGACGGTCACTGAAGTGTTGCTGGAGACCATCCAGCTCCTTATTGAAAAGAATTATTAGAGGTTTGTCGGGTTCTCCTGGTGGTATTCACTTTTAGCTGCAGAAATGCCTTGTTTTACATTAAATTATCGTGTTTCGTATTGAGAGGAACGTGTGGCCTCTGCATTAAAGCCCTGACTCATCCCATTCACCTGTTGCTCTGCAGGATCTCTCCCTCACCTTTCAGAGCAAGCTTTTAATAATTCCAGCATTCCCGTGCACCTCTTAAAATAGGACAGTGTTTGGGCAGGGAAGCGTTAATAACCCAGACAGAACAAATTTATTGTAATGTGTTTTTTTCCGGGAAGTGCTAATACCCAGGAGTGTCTTTTTCAAACGGAGCAGGTTTTGGTGTGTTTTGTGTTCAGTTCAAATTTTATTGGTGAAATAAGCACGTATAAATCTTCTGCTGTGGCCCCGTGGGTTGTTTGTCTTTTAGACACGTAGAATACGGTTTGTAACTTTGTATATTACAAAGTAACCAAGAGTTGGTTAAATGGTGGCTGTTGTATTTGAAGATGCAACATTAAGGCTTTTTTCTTCTCCATAGCTAGTGTAAAAAGAAGACATTGAAACTATTGCAAGTAGTTTTGTTTTTAGAGTAATACTGTTTCCAATTATTAAAAATTACTTAAAATTACCTATTTCAGTTTAGAAGCACAAGGAATGAAGCATGTTGTTCAGGCTTAGTGGGATCGTAAATGTTCATTTTTTTTTTTGTGCGGAGAGTTGACAACTCACTACTTTACTGGTTTAACGCTCTCTATGAAAGCACCATGCGCTAGCGAAAAGTTACCTCAGTGCAAGTATCTGTTTCTTTTTGGATTTTTGATTTTTTTAAATTTTATTTTATTTTTTAACGTGCCCTTTTGAAGAAAAAGAAGGCAAATTGAGTGTCTGCAGGGGTCCGTGGCTGCTGCGGGAGCGCAGCCCGGGGGGCGCGGGTTCTCCATCCATAAATTGGGGAGAGGGGAGAGGCTGGAGCTGCGCATCCCTCGCCTCTCCCGGCTGGGCAGGCTGGCTCTGTTCGCTCCCCGCGGTGCTAAGCTCGGGCATGTTCGATCGCTAATGGGAGGCGAGATAAAATCCAGTTTCCAGTGACTCTGGTGGCAGTGCTTTAACTTCATTAAGGCTCTATTGAACAATCGCTCCTTAGCAGTTTATCTTTATTCCTAACGAGTGCCACAGTGCTGAGGCAGTGCTTGGAGTCGGTTTTCAGCGTGTTGGAGATAAAGCTTTTGTTTGTCGGCTTGGAAATGCGGCTCGGCAGCCGGGGAGGCTTCTGGAACAGACTTAATCACGCCGCGTGTTTTGTCAACAGGACTATCAGTACCGAGGAAAAGCACTGGGGCTTTTCGAAACTATTGTTATTTCTCTGCTGGCAGCAGAGCTCGGAGTTGTAATTTTTCTCCCGAGTTTTCAGAAGGAATAGCTGATACGCAGAGGGGCTGCAGTTGCTCACGTTTTGTGTAGTGGCATGGATGTTTTTCAGGCTTGTTTTTGGGGTTTTTATTTTATTTTTTTTTCTCGAAGGCAACAGGCAGCTCAGCACTGTGTACCAGTTATATAAGTGTTCTTGACTTGCTGCACAGGGCACGTTGCAACACTGCCGTGACACATCCCGTCCTTGCACCAGCACCCAGCTGCAGCTGGGGAGGGTTCCTGGTCCTGGGAAGGATTCCTCATCCTGGGAAGGGTGCACAGAGCTCCTTTGCAGTGCCTCCCTTTGGAGGTGCTTCGTGTCTTGTGGGGTTTAAGTCTGAAGTTTGTTTTTACAGTAGAGTGTTACATGGGGCATGAAGTTTAGGGCTAAGTTAAAGTACAGAATGCTTCGTGCCCCAAAAAAGCCAGGGCTCCAGCAGTGTTGGTGATGTGGCACATCCCCCGCATCCCCTGCTTCTGTCTCTCCATGCATCTTGATTTTTGAGGAATATATAAGAGATTTTCTTTAGGCATCATATATGACTGAGGGTTTTTTCCTTTTGTATTTAGGGATGAAGCAACAGTACTTTAGGTACAGCTTTTAGTGAGAAGATCTAGGGACAGTGAGGCTATGGTTGGATAGTTAATTAATTGCTAGCATGGTCTGCAGCAAAAGAAGAAGTTATTTTAAACAGAAGTATTGTGCATTTTTGACCCAAATGAGTAGGAGATATTTTGGGGAGATATTTACATCTGTGCATGGACCCTTCTGCCTCTGGGTCAGTGTGCATGTGCCTGGCATGTCTGGGAAAAGGCAGCATCCCCAAGTACCCAGGAGAGCTGGGCTAAGAGCTGCTCGCTGATTCCCAGGAAGGCTCCAGGCTTTGGCTCTATGGATAAGTTGCCCCGAGGCAGCAGCTGCCTGTTGGCTCTTTGCACGGTGCTGCTGCTCTCTGGAGAGATCAGGGCAAAGTGTCCGAATGCTTTTTAGAGTCCTGTGGGTCCCTGTCAGTGGTTTCAGCGTCTGGAAGCGCATTTGAACGAGCAGTCTCTTTCTGGGCTCAAGTGCATACACACGAAGATTTTATTCAATGAAATTTCATGTTTGTTTCAAAATTACCTGTAAATTTCTTGCTGAACTGGGGTTTTCACGTGTCAGGTCCTGTAGCTTTGCTGTCACATGTCAGGGTAGCTTCTTTGCTTGCTTGGTAAGGGGCTCTGCTGATGCTGGTTTATGGGATTTTTTGGGAAAAGGGCATTACTTGCTCTGGGGCTCTGGAGGGAGAGGAGGAGGTGTGGGGTCCCTCCTGCTGGGAGGGGGGAGTGCTGCTGGCAGCACCTCTCCTGCATGAAATAATGGAACAGAGATTAAGTAATGGTCCCCCCGGCTGCCGGCCCCGCGCAGCTGTGGAGCTCTCGGCGGTGCCCGGGGGCTGCAGGGATGGCCTGGCAGAGGGATGTGCTGCAGGTGGCCGGTCCCTCTCCCTCCTCCTGGGGCAACGCTGGAAACCCCAACTCTGCCCAGCGGCTCCGTGCTGGGTGGTGCTCCAAGGAGGTTCTCCTGCTCAGGTGGGACAGTGCAACGTTTCCTGGAGTGTTTTCTGGTGTTTCCCGGAGCGCTGTCCTTGGCAGCGGCCCTGCTCCGGGCAGTCCCCAGGGATGGCTCTGCACCCTGCGGGATGGCAGTGCCTGCCCTGCTGGGGAGCACCAGAGCCCCTCCTCGCCAAGCTGTGCCTCTCCGGGCCGGCTGCTGAAGCACAAATAAATACATGTGCTTGCGAGTAAATCCACCCTTCCTGTGCGAACATGTGTCGGTGGATTCGCTGACCACCCTCAGCATGCCGCAGTATTTATTTATCAGTTCCTACAGCAGGGCAGCAGTTAACAGCAAGCCCTCTGCATCTGCTGTCTGAGTTTCTCATCTCCATCCCACACTGAGCCACAGCCGGGGCAGAAATTGCCTCATCGGACTAGGATTAAAAGTAAATACGCGACTGATAACAACGGAAAAATTATCCCCACTTTAGAAGCCCTTCTGGCTCTCGCAGAAGCCCCTGGCTTCTAGTGAAAAGCTCCAACAGCCGGGGCAGAAATTGCCTCATCGGACTAGGATTAAAAGTAAATACGAGACTGATAACAACGGAAAAATTACCCCCACTTTAAAGCCCTTCTGGCTCTCGCAGAAGCCCCCGGCTTCGAGTGAAAAGCTCCGGGACCTCCTCTGCATATTCCTCTCTCCTTTTGAGAAACTTCACGGCATTTAATCACTTTGAGACTTTTCCTCTCTGCAGTGACTGCAATTTGAAACGCAGGGGTCCCATACAAAAGAAGCAAGTGCTCAATGGGCTGTGTTAATATTCAGTGCCATTTACAATGGGTGCAGTTTGAAAAGGGGAGAATGGATGGTCTGGGAGCTGGGGGAGGAGGAGCTGCAGAGGGAAAATTCCCAGGACAGGGGAAGCAGCGTCTCAGTAGGCAGTAGGAAAAAAACCCC